TAGAGTATTCTGAACAAGTTTCCTGAAAAGAAAACATTGTGAGGTTGTATGCCTTAGAAAATTATGGTATTTATAAAACCCTCTTTTCTTTCTTTGTTCTAATGGCAATACTTTAGCACCTGGTGGCACTAATATTTGACCATCTGCAACCAACAAGTCGAAAATCTCATCACATTTAGTTACATTTATAGTATAGGTTTTCTTAGAGAACTTATCACTATTTTCAGGTTCAAAAGGGTTCTTCCCATTTGTTGGGGTAAGAAGTTTACACACATATGGGGTCTTGGCTTTAACTCGGCCACATCGACCTCGTTTTCTTCGACATGTTTATATTCTATATCTGATGTCAAGTCATTCTCTTCCATATCGACGTAAGCCACTCGTTCCTTCTTACCTTTGTTCACTATGACTTTTTCAGTATTCAACAGTTCGACTTGTTGAACTCTATCCACTAGTTAGGCCATATCCTTTATGTATTATGTATCTAATTTATTCCTAATAGAATAATTCAATCCCCCAGCAGCCATTTTAATGAGCTCGTGTTCAGGCACTTGGGTAAAGCATCTTATTTTTAAAAGTCAGAATCGATTCAAGTAATCATCGATTGACTCAACGAACTTTCACTTCACATTCGACAATTCTTTCAGACTAATCTTGCATTTCCCCATATAAAATTGCTCATGGAACAACCTTTTCAGACGAGTCCCATCATTAATAGAATGTGCAGGGATGGCTATAAACCATATAAAAGAGTTCTCTTTAAGAGAAGTAGGAAAGTATCTCATCCGTAAATTCTCATTATTTTCTATGTCTCCTGCTTCAGTCAAATATCGAGCAATATGTTCGCATGTGGATTCATTGGTCTCACCGGAAAATTTGGTAAACTTAGGGACTTTCCATCCCAATGGAAGTTCAGTCTGTATATTATGACAAGGGATACGTATAATTTGGCCTTTGTAGGCCCATATTCACACCATTTTTGTCATTATCCTTTTGAGTATGGTTGCAAGATTGTTCTCTCCCATCAGATTAGCTTGTCGGACTTGACGAACCACTTGTTCAATGTTCTGGTTTTGATTTACTACTAAAACTGATGGACGTTCATCCTCTCTGGACCTTTTTTGTTCGACTACGTAGGGCACAAATTGTTGCCCCTAATTCACTGTGTTTTCTTCAAGGAATATCCCTTCATTTCTAATTGACCTGGCCACTTGAGGTTGTACTATGGGTCAAATCTGCGCTGGAGGAGCTCCAAAGAAGTCATCAATTTAATTCATTAGAGTTGCCAATTGCTGCTAAATCTAATTCATGTTCTAAATCAATGGGTTAGAGTAAGAGTATTGACCATATCATGGTTACTCTCGTCCATCTGTTGTCTCATTGCCATCACAAAAGTTATGGTGAACGTCGGCATTGCTTGGGAACTAAATCCCATCCCTAGTTGGGGTTGTATGGTTCAACCAAGGTTACCTATGGTCGATCCTGATGCCAATAGTGAAGAATACGCATTTGCAGGATTGTAAGCAAATATCGAAGGGTTAGTATATAAATTTTCCATCATATATCTTAGCATACCATATTGTTGTTACGCCCAAGTATAGCCATTGTGAAACTATGGGCAAAAAGGTAAAAAAATGTGTTTCCATTGTCGTCCTGGGAGTCACTGGGTGACTCTGTGTTATCGAATGGGAGAAAATTGTCCCTTCCTGTCCAGTTTATGGCATAATCATCATTGACGGTAGGATTGTGGTATTAGATGGTTGTTCTCCATTATTGTTGTTTCTGGGAGACATCATTCTTCTAGCGTTTTTCCTCGCTGGTTTTCTAGCTTCTTTTTTAGTTATCTTACCACTCCTCAATCTTATGCACACTCAGACTTTAAGAGTTTCCTTAAACAAAGAAATTCATTGTACAATTTTCAAAAGCAAAAAAGTATAAATTCACATAAAAAGGGTTCCACAGGGTGTGCCAATTTGTTTACTATAAAATTTAGTAAACAAAAACAAATTTTATTTTACCTAAGGGATTATACTCGAAAATATTCCAAGACATATTTGTGTGAATCATGAATTTTAAGCAAGTTTGACATAAAAGTCAAAATACAATGCAAAGTGAAAATAATGAGTGAAGTTAAATAAGAAATCGAAATGTAAAGAAACTTAAAGAAATGGCTGAAAAAGAATGATTAAAATAAAGGCTTAATTTGTAAAAGTGGAAGGCATATACGTAAATTATTGACTCTTTTCTCACACACACACACACACACAGATACTTTGAGTTTTACAGAATTGTGTACTAATGTGGATCCCTAAAACATAAGTGAACTCCTACACTTATGTTGTCCTACAATAACCGTCTACAACGGTTGACTAAGCACAATATGCCACGTCTTCATCTCCGTGCAGCATTCACCTTCAATGACTTCCATGTGTCCTTGAATAATTGTCTGATCTTTTCCAATTATATTTCTTTCGACTGCGTAGAGTAAACATCTTGGACACTCTGAATTTTACCAAGTCCCAAAATCAATAAACCTTCTGGTCTTTTACTTATTTCAATATCGACTAGAATCATCACTAAAATTCTACTAAATCGAATCTGTCGAAGAGTTCATGGTCATAATCCACCATTTCGACTTTCCAACAAAACCATTATTGATAATCCTTATCTCATCTCTTTCGTTAATGCTTGTATCGAAAATCTGAGATAACACATACACACGGCTTTACAAAGAGAAAGAAAAATTTGATGCAATATATGAATCTCTTGTTCCTTGCATTAATGGAACGACAACGAAGGAAAATGGATGTACTTCCCTAAAATGGGCCATCTCATAGCAAGTGTGTATGATAGATTGTGTGTTGATCTTACAACATACGGTTTTTCATTAAAAAAATTCCCACTGCGCACCGTCCCACCTCAAAATCTAAATGATCATATTATGTGTATTGGGTGGCTTTCAAAATGACGACAATTTGTTCAAGTTTATTTGAAACTGTGATACCTTATACCACTTACATCAGTGAAATGGCTGGCTCATTTAACAACAAAAGTTGAGACTTTTCCGAACTGATATGTGGAAAGGATGCAAGAGTTCACCAAATTGAGTGACATTAAAAGAGAATCAAATGCAAAAAAAAATGCAAAAGGGGACCGCCCATCTTATAGATTTAGCTGGCGACAAATCTTTCAATTCGTTTTAGTTTTTCATCATCAATTAATTGTATGTAATTGTGTATTAATATTAATGAAGTGTAATATATATAATTTCAAATATTTCGATACATTTTGATGTTTTTCAAAACAAAACACATGAGTTTTATTTTTTGTCTGGTTCATGAGAGGTTCCGAAGATGCATCTCTGAAATAAGACAATAAGATGGTACTAGAGATGCATCTTTAAATCTCCATTGAATAAGAAATAATTTTTTAGGTTCATATTTGTCTACAACTTCTATAAATATAGGCTTGTGTTTTTTATTTCATACAAACAAAACATGTCGCAAATGTCGCAAATGAACATCTTCTAGTATGTTGTAAATGTCTTCTTTTTCAGTGCGACACCCATGCGAAAATTTAAGATCAATGAGTGTACCTCTTTTACAGATCTGCAATGCGAAGAGTAGAATCTCCTAACTTATGGAGATAATCGAAAATTTGTGAAGCTCGTGTATTATTCACCGTCAATTAACGACGAAGGCAAGATTGCATTCAACAACTATGAGCTCAAGATGGATGTGGATGTAACCGTTGTGGGGAATAAATTTTTTCCATTTCAAAACAAAAGTTCAAATCGAGGTAGAAGCGACGATTTCAAAACCGGTCGAAGATATTGTGAAAATGTTGAAGCGTCCACCTGAATATTGAAATAGAATGTTTGATTTTATGTTAACATCGCCTATGTAATGCTAATTTCATGTTATGGATGATAATTTTATTTTGTCAAAATATAATTTTTTAATTTTCTACTTCTGTTTTAGTATGCTACAGAGATGCATCTGCGAACAGATTCTAGAGATGCATCTCCGAATAAACAAAAATCACATTTCTAGAACGTAACGCAAAATTGCCCTAGATTATGTGTTTGAAATTAAAATGCATCTCCAAAAACAAAGAACAATTTTGTATTTTTACATGGAGATCTAGTAATATATAGGATGCATTAATATATATATATATATATATATATATATATATATATATATATATATATATATATATATATATATATATATATATATATATATATATATATATATATATGTGCGCGCGTGTGTGGGGGGAGGGGGCGTTCTCCGCGTCTTTGAATCATAACCCATTTCATGAATAGTTCATTCATTTAATCCATAGTATATATCTTAGAAGAAAAATGTTAAATGTATAAGACACAAGTAGGGTTGTGCATAGATCATAAACTAAACCAAATTGAATATATATATATATATATATATATATATATATATATATATATATATATATATATATATATATATATATATATATATATATATATATATATATATATATATATGATTTGGTTTGGATTTTGAAATTATTTTCATAAAACCAGTTTATTTTTTTATAATCGGTTTACAAGTAGACCAATTTCAAATCAGACTCGCGATAAGTGTAACTTTGGGCAGGCGAGGGGGAAAAACAAAAATCATGGAAATCCATTTTCAATACATTGCCAATAAACGATACCAACCCAATGACTGACTATTACATAATTTCAGGAAAAAGTTGAAAAGAACTATACAAATAAAAAGACACAAAAATATAAGAAACACAAAATGGTCGCGACCAACACAAAATGTGGCCGCTGCAGACAATACATATTTTCAAAAATAACTTAGCAATCAGAACGCAGATTAGTCTGAAATGGAATGTGAATTTGTTAGCAAACACCTATCAACCTGAGTAATCAGTTATGCTTGCAAGAGCACCTCTGGGAGCTTAGCACATATTATCAGATGCGTTTGGAAAACATCATATGTATTTTATTTCCTAACCTGTCAGACATGAGACACAGGAATCAGTATTAGCAACGTTCTGTGCAAGAATTATATACACAAACCATTTGGAAAAACTGTCATTATAGCTGTTTACAATTAAATGATGAAAGAATCGGTCAAAATAAAACCTTCAACAGAAACTAAGCTGAAGAGCTGCTGAGTAGGTAGAAGGCTTGTTATCATTCTTTTGGCATTACAAAAAAATCTTTTAATCAATCGTCTATAAATAGAAAAGAACATAATTTTGAATAGTTTACCTCCGTTAGATAATGCCTTCGACATCTATGATGTATAGGTATAAGACTTTTTTTTTAAAACCTAAAATCTAAGGCCCTCTCAGGGATGTTTCTAGTTTTTGGATTTTACGGTTAATTTTGAAAACAAAAATGTGATAGACTAAAATTGAGTTACAATGGGTTCACTCATTTTAAAAACAGTTTTGTAAAAAATGGTGTTTTTTGTCGGTGGTTTTTCTAATTTTTATATTTAACACATGGCTCTGCGATATCGCTTTCATCTTCCTCTCTTTCAAGAAAAGCTCCAGAATTTCCTAGATATCATCCCTCCAACAAATTTGAAGCTTTACCGCAACGACTTACACTTATACATATTATTCTAGATTCGTGGTTCTTACTGCTAGTTTTAAGATTCAAGGATTTGAAAGGAAAGATTCTAAGCAATTATATTGATGTACCTATGTATATGTTGATAACTTAGCTTCACTTTCTCCATACCCTTTTCATTGAAACACGGAAACAAGACATATAAAAGCAACATGACATACACAATTAATTGATGTAGAAATTTGACTATTAGAAAAAAGCTTCATCGGCACAAAAATTCAATTGACTTTTTGAAAAGAAATTGATTTCTAACGGAAAGAATTTAACTTCTAAGTTCTAACACCTCTTCCTCCTAATCTCGTGAGAGCAGAAACACTACTGGGAGATGGTGAGCTGAGGCATTCCATAATTCAACTCCTCTGCCTGACAAAAAAAATTTGTCTTGGACATGACCTCCTCTAAGTAGATTCTTTCGAATCAAAGGCCTTATCGAAATCAACCTTGAAGAGAATGAGATCCTTTTCAATCCGGTGGCTTTATCAACTATCCCATCGACTATAACGATAACATCTAAAATTTGATACCCTTTAATAAAAGCAGTTTGAGTTTTCGAAATAACATTACCGGTGACTCTCTTCAACCAAGATGCCAAGACTTTAGCAAGGAGTTGCACATATAACCACCAAAAAAAAGGCTAAAAGTCAAATAGCCTTTGCGGCTCTCAATTATAGGAATTAACACAATGAGGTTACAATTAGAACTTTTTACAACCTCCAGTTAGAGTGGAATTCAAAGAGGAATATCAAGAAATCAACTTTAATATCTGCCCAAAATTCTTTGAGAAAGTCCGAATTTAATCCCATCTGACCCGGAATCTTGAAACTATCACAAGCTTAAACCACTTGCTTCACTTCGTCCTCTCCAAAAGAAATCTTTAACAAATGTTTACTCAAGTGTTCAAACAGAGTTTCCATCTAAATCCCATTAACTTCTAGTCTAGCTAGAGATGTATACTATGAAAATAACTGTAATTTGCATCACCCTCCTTGTCCCACACCAAAATGAGACATTCAGCCTCCTTCAGGTTTTGGTTCACTTTTCAAATCCAGAACATCAATATGCTCACTTTTCAAATCCAAAACATCAATATGCTCTTCAATCTCTTTGATCTCAGCCTCCAGGTTTACCCCATGTTACAGGGTTGGGGTAGGGAGGGCAAAAGGTAAAGGGACACGAGAGGGAATACAATTAGAATTTGGGTTAGGCTGAATTGGGTTTGGGAATGGTGGGTGGGCACACAGTATTTGTAAAGTTAACAGGGGTTGCGCTGCTATTGGTTGATTGGTTAATAATAATAAAGGTGAGTGGCGATTGGATGTACCTTAGTTTTATTAAAAATGTTGTTCGTACCTATGCATTATAGACTAGAAGTTATTTCCAGCAATTAACTAGTAGTTCTTTAGATTTTTCTGTAGTATCCTATCAAGCCCCAAAACCTTCTCAAGGCCTTAACATACTTGGGGCTGACTACTGCATCATTGATTCAACTTTTAGGGGACTTCTTCCAGCAACCCCTTTTTTGTGACACAAGGTGGCCAAATACACTACAGATTCTTGAGCAAGTTTACATCTTTTCCCATTCTCCACCAGATTATTTTGTTGCAGCAATTGAAACAAATAACCTTCAGGTGATCTACATGTTCTTTTAGCTCTCTACTAAACCTTCTGTCAGGCTTCCCAATTCGTTCATCAACACATGGAAGGTAAAAGGAATTTTAGTAGGATATAATACAGAAAAACAGCAGTTGACTATTAACTGTTGACATCGAGAATACAAGCTAGTGAATTCGATAGCCTTTGCCTCTCACAATTTGTACTTTTTAAATACCCTGATTCCTTCTTTAATCTTTCCACTAACCGACTCACCACTTTAGGTTTTGTACTTTTTTTATATTTGAATGTTTTAAAAATTTGGCCACCACTTTAGGTATTATAATTTGTTAATGATTTAAAAAGTTTGATTATCGCTAAAACACACAACACAGCTATGCTGCAAATAGCAGAGTTTACATATTCCTTTCGTATCGGCTACACCAAATTCTGATATATAATAGCAGTATAGCAGCGCTATACCGGATTTTTAACAACATATGCACTTTATTACTCAGCTACCTACGGATAATACCTCCTATTAAGTTAACTATTTGATTATAGTTTCCCTGCCTGGTTTGCCGATTTATTCTCTAGTCTTCCTAAACTATACCTGTTTCACAATAAAGTGCTTATCAAAGTAGTATAATAGACAACACTGCAACTGAAAAATATTTACACCCTATAATGGTGATCCTAAACTTAAACTTTGGTGAGAAAACAGAATAAAATTCAAGGAATACAATATGTGATAATTCATACCTTTAAACGCGGAGACTGACGAACAGATGAGGCAGAATCAGGAGATAAAAGTGCCAAATTTTTCCTTGTGCGGGTGTTTTTTCTCTTTAAAAGTGCACTGCCATCAGAGAATTCCACTTGATGTTCATTTTCTGTGGTTGTAGAATCACTTCTACCAGATGAACCTGGAGCAGATGAAGAGATAAAGGCTGATTCTTCAGGTTTAACTGTTGTTCGAACTGAGCTCCCTGTTTAATAGAAGTTAATGAAAGTTACATTTAGTATAAGCATCCTTTTAATCCATTTTTCATGAGGGACAAAGATTAGAGACATGAGGTGTTACTGTGGTTGGCCACAGAACAAGATATTATTTTGTTAGACATGTGAAGAAAATATATTAAGAACAATAACATGCATTCATATAATTATAAGCTAATGAGAAGATTATCAAACGAACTAAAACCATGATTGAATAATTCAATAATGCATATCAATTGGTATAACAAACATTCAATAACTATCATCATACATCACATACTCCCTTAAAAGTTAGAAAGAATTATCATCATACCTTGGGCCAATTTTTTTTGAAATTTGCTCCTTATAACTCTAACAAACTTGAATAGATCATTTGTTTTGTTTAATTCATGGACCAACTCCTCAATACCATCAAGGGAAGGTTCACAACTTAACACTGAAAGATAAAAGGCATAGATTAAGTTTCATGAAGTGTATCCATATAGTATAAAGATTGTATAAGAAAATTGTATATGCTGGCTGCTTACACAAGTAGGTATTTTTGTCATGGTACACAGTAAAAGAGTACTCTCTATTTGGATTCTTCAAATCTATATTCGTGAAAGTGAACTTAACCCCTGAACAAATCACTAATAAGAATATGAATTTTGAAAAATTAAAAAGAAAAATCTTGAGCAAAAAAGTTAATTGCAAATTACCATGTCCCCCTTTGACATGAAAACCGAGTACATTGTTATACCAAGAGATGGCCTGTCGCGTGTCATGTGTGTGATCAATGCTCCCATTTATAATCCCCTCAGATGCTGCTAAAGCTTCATGTGGATGATTATAGAAACAATGTTAGTGTATATTACCGATGTAATTTCACTTCTCATGCATGATTTCAATTACTAATGAGGTAATTACCAAGAGACTGCTGAGATAAAAATGAGGTGTATTCTTGTTTCCTAATCCGAAGCTCTTGAACACTATTGTTGAGGTTTCCAACTCTAGCCTTTGCAGAAGCAATAACATCCATCAAAGCCATTCGCTTGGCCTCTTTGCGGATCTTTTCTGCACATTCAAAATCAAAATTATACAACGTTTCCATCATTTGACACAATGAAGCTAAAAATGAAAAACCCTAAAGTGAAATTACCTGCGAGTACTTTAACAAGTTCATCTTCCACTTCCTTCAGGGTGCCTTTAGTCTCTTCTAGTTGATCTGATATGTGAAAACGAGAGAGTAAATATAAAAACCCTAAGACGAAAACGGTAAAGTGAATGTTGAAACTCGAAACCCTAAGGAAGAAGATACGAGTGAATGGTAAAGAGGTAAAGACCTTGTTTTCGAGAAGTTTGTTGCGCTGTGATCTTGAGGGATTGGAAGCATTCGGAAAGAGAAGTGGTGATAGCATCGAGTTTGCGCATTTGTTGAGTGGTTTCAGGGTCGGAGTTTGAGGTTGAGCATTCCATTTTTATTTTTATTTTTGCCGCTCTCTAGTTTCTGAATATTCTGTGTCTTGAATTTGAGGTTTTTCTTATTTTTTGAATTGTGGATCTTAATTTAACCCGCCGTTTGGGATGTGGATCTTTTGATTTCATAATTAAACTCTAAGTCCATTTAATGTATGATTTTATTTAGTATCTTAATTAATAAACATTAAAGTCTTTAAAAAAATATTTGTTATCAAACTTGTTTAATTCGGATAAATTTTGTCAATAAATATTAAGTTATATATTTATTTTATTTGATATTGTTCTTTTTTCTCTTTCTAATAACTAAATAAATTTTTTAAATCAAAAATTAAATGATTTTTTTTTAATTTTTAAATTCAAAAATTTCAAAATAAATTTCTATGAATCGATACAAAAATCCTTGTATATAATGAAAGAGAAAGTAATTCATGAAACACCCTAACAAACTTCTTTGTCTCTCAAGAAGTTTGTTCTAAATTTGAAACATTCTAATAGGTGAAACATAATCAAACTCTGTCCAATCTCTAATTCATTCCCTCGTCTTGAATAATAATGCTAAATCATTTATAATTATATGTGTTCTGGACAGGGCCAGTATTTGTCCTACAGTCGGGCAGACCCAACCCAATGTTACATTGGGGAGGCCCAGCAAGGCTCAATCCTTCATCTCGTCGGGCACGTTCAGTACTCTTTGCAGTCGGGCAGACCACTACCTAGCACAGAGAGAGCTTACGCGCCTCCTGTAACACCTTTCTAAACCTCACGGTAAATATATGAATAATCAGAGTAAATAATCATACATTTACAAAAGGGCGTCACACATAACTTTCAAAACATAAAAAACCATTTGTCATACTCATTAACACTTATAATAAGTAATCATGTTTCTCACAATTTCACTTTGCATGTAGCAGCAGATTCATTTTATATCATAATTCTCTTAACAGAATAACCATGTTCATCATATAATTCAACATTACTTAGGCACCATGGTCAACATCATAATATTCCAATGAATATAAAAACATAACGTAGAATACATAATGTATCTCTAAAATATAAACCAAACGATCCCAGTGTTACATGACCAGAGCATGACTCGACCCAATATAACTAAGTTACTAAATGGCTACACCAACAACGACCACGCAACTACGAACAGCTCTATTCTTGATACCTGCATGATGTCAGATAGGACATCATTTCAGCAGAAGGGTGAGAAATATTATCATAATAATCAATGCATATAATTATATATATCCACAATCTTAGAGTACACATAATCAACATTCCCGCCACAAGTCATCCATATACGTCACAGTGTATATACAATATATATAGATAATCACCAACACATACATCATAATTCACTCATGTACATCGCCATACATATACATATAATCCAAGCATAACATCATGCACACTTCCACAATTCACATCATTCCATATAAACATTTACAATTATGTTTCTTCATCCAATCACAACTCTCATTCAACAATTCATACACATGCATAATTCCATATAACAGTTATATATGTCATGTGACTCAATGAAACTCAATGTCATGTGGTACCAACACTTGTTATCATTTTTCGGTTTTTACATTTAAACCGGGTCCACCCTTCTAGACCGATAACACCAAAAGCCCGTTTCCTAAGCTTTCAAACTCACCCTTCTAGGTTTGGGACAAGTCACTAGTCTCCGCGAAACTAGCAAGCACTGCCTCTTGACTAAATGATGCATATGCAATCAACCACCAAATGCACTTAAGACCGTTCCCGCATCTTAATCTCATGCATTCAAATAATTCATCACTCAAGAATTATAACATGATTGCACACACAACATATTTGTTGCGGTGGAAATAGGATATCAAATTATTAATTAATTTGAATCACAATTCAATTCACAACCGCTCTTTGATTTATCCGAAGGAAAAAGTCAAAAGAGGGAAAACCTATTTTTGCATCGTAAACACAATGCGGGGAAAGATCTAGGGTTTGGGGGTTGGTTAAATTTAGGGAAGGTATTAGCACCCTAAACTTCTGTAGTACTCTACAGGAACCTTTTGTTCAAATGTTTACTATTTGCTTTATTATTCTTAAGGTATATGTACAAAGGGATTACGAGTGAGAAAGGAGACCTAAGGGGTTAATTCTAAGTTTACTCGGCAAGACATCGCATCTTGTGCCTACATATCCTTACGGGAATGGAATCAGAGTAACTGTAGTTCCCCTCAAAAGGGAGGTTAGAGACTTCTTGACTGAGATCAAGGTCTCAAGGGGAATAAACATGTCTTAAGGACACGCTTACGTGGAGTGTAGAAACTCCAAATCTCTACGTTGAATTGTTAAGTTGTAATTAGGGTTAAATTAGGGATTCCACGGCGGGAAACCCTAAAATGAGTGTGGCGACTCTTTGACCTAAAGCTAGGGGTAGTTTCGTAATTTTGTCCATGGCGAGACATTTGTGAAAATTTAGGGTTTGTAAGGTGAAAGGGTTTGAAGTTGAGGACTATTGGCGTGGCGGCCAAACGGCTAGACCTAATCCTTCGGAGGTGTGTAGTGTGACAAAGATACTGGTGGAAGTGTGAGATAATTGAATCATGCAAACAGAGAGATAATATCCTAATTTAACCATGCAAGCAGAAATTTAAAGGCAGAAATTAAAGCGCGATTGTTAGGATTCGCGAGGTTACATGAGAGGAGCAGTTACAATAATAATGAAACTTAAATAAAAACACAACGTAATAAGCTGCAAAAATGAACACACGCGTTAGTAGGCAAAGTCAGACGGCCATCGGGCGAGTTACGAAACAAAAGTGCAAGATTAGAGATTTTCGTTGTCGTTTTTTGTGATATAAAGAAAAAGTTTTTGATTTATATTGAAAAAGAGCTTTTTTTTGTTAAGGTTTTAAAAAAGATATTGATAAAAACAATTAAATTGAATGGAAAAAAGAATTTAATTTTGAAAAACATGTTTTATGTTAAGTTTCTTAAAAAAATTATTATTATAAAAAAAGAGTTCGTTTATTTTTTTAAAAGGGTTTTTTTGATTACTTTTTAAAAAGAGGTTTGGTTTTAATTAATTTTGGGAAAAGATTTTTTATAATTAAACAAAATAATAATAATAAAAAAATAAAAAAAATAAAATAAAAACTAACACATAAAGGAAGAGGTTGGGCCGGTAATCACATCCGGACCCAACCCGGTTGGTGTAAATGCCACAAAAAGAAAAAAGGATCTAGGGTTTCAAAACCCTAATCTCCCCGCGGCGCATGTTTCTTCTTGTTTCTCATCTCTCATGCTCTTGTCCTCTCCGATTTCTCTCATTCCGAACCTGAAAAGAACAAAACAACCACATAGTAACCATTAATCATGAGCTTACGTCGTTTTTGACGGTGATTTTCGCGGAGGTTTATGGTGTTCGATCGTTCGCGATTTATGGGACGATTATAAGGGCGATGATGTGATGAACTGAGCCTCAACGGATGTTTGCCCGTCGTTGAATGAAACGGCGCCGGCGGACCTCCTTCGGTGGGATCTTTTTCGTCTTCACGGTGTTTCTGTTGATTACGACGACGATGATGAGGGTTTCGCTTCCTCTGAGTCTATGCTGCCTCGTTGATAATCGCGGATGGGCTTTGACGATGGTTTCAGCTCTTTGTTCGCGGCCGCTTTCTGCACTCCCTCTCCCTCTCTCTCGTTTCGTCCAGGGTTTATCAGGTTGTATCTGTTCCTTTTTATAATCTCTTCTGATTCCTTTTTGGGCCTCTGATTGTTGGATTGTGATTTTGTGATACAATTTGATTTTGTGATATGCCGCAGATTCGATTGGATTTGGTTGGGATGTGGTTCGATTTCTTTTGATATTACTTCTTTCCTCTTTTGGATTTGCCTTCATTTGGATTCACTCTCGATTGTCCCTTTTAACCTTAATGTCCGGTTATGGCTTCCATCACGGATTTGGGCCCTGTTTCCCAGTTCCTTTTGCTGTGGTTCGCGCCCTGTTTGGCTTCTGAACTGATACGCTGGTGTAGTTTACACCTGTTGCTGATGCGCTTTCCTGACTCTCTCTTCTTTGCAATTTTCTGTGACAACCATGGATTTATTTATTCTTGAATCGAATTGATCTTTTCAATTTTATGCAGCTTGTGAACTCAAGTTCAACTCGGCCTCTTCGTGGCTAGTCGGAGATCCGTAGGCATCCGGGTTTTCGCTCAATGTTGCTTCGAAACATTTACTTGATAGTGGCTGAGACTTTTATGCAGTGATTATCTTGTTTTTATGGTGGCATTTGTTCGAAGCAAGTCTTGCTTGTTCCATATCCAGTTTTCGACGCCAATAGATTGTTTCGGCCTTTACTTCCTTTTCTCTTTCAGAGGGAACTGGTGGTGCGGATCGGTAGCGGGGGTAGGATGCAGCTTCGGTTGTGCCCTCCCGGCACTCGATGATGACATTGTTCTGAGAGTGTCAAAACAACCTCTAACACTTTTCTTGCTTCTGTTCTGTTTTGTCTTTGTTGTGCAGGTAACCGGAAAAGGAAATCATTGAGAACAAGGTTGAAGACTTTAGCTTTTTAGGCTTATGTCTTAGGATAGGAAAACAATGTAACTAGGATTTCTTGTAATTTGTAAACAAAGAGTTCAAATGAAATAAAATTCAATATTTTCCTTCCATTCAATTTTCTCTCAATTTTCTTTTATGCCTTGAATGGTTTATGTTTCATAGGTCATGAACTTTGAAATATTTCACTGTTATGCAATAAAGATACCACTTATGCCCATCGCCTTTGAATGTTTGAACATACCATAAAAACCTCAACTTCCCGTTCCAAGACATGATAACAAAAGGGAGAACTCATGTTATGAATTGAGTTTGAAGTATTCTCTAAAACAACCTGATTAATCCCCGAATAAATTCAAACTGACTTTCGCTTTCTCAAAACAAACCCGACAATATCCACTTTATTTTCAATCCAAACTTTCATCAACGAA